TTTGTTTGCTACCGCCCAAGTGTTGATATTGAATTCGAATAAGGAGTTTGTACCCTGCCGAGCCTTATTCGACACCGCAAGTGAAGCCAATTTTGTTACTCTGTCATGTGCCAAAAAATTAGATTTGCCCATTGTTCCAAATAGCACACCAATCCAAGGTTTGAATAACATGACTTTTAAAGTCCCCCATGGAAACATCAACCTTCAAATTTCCTCACAATATTATAGCGATAGTATATTTAAGTGTAAAGCTATCATTACCCCGAACATCTGTGGACTTGTCCCTCCTACCAAGGTGAACAACGTTCCTTCCCAGTGGCCCTACCTAGATGGTTTGGACTTAGCCGACCCAGATTTCAGCAATCCAAATGAAGTGGACATCCTACTCGGCGTTGACTTATTTAGCCAAATGCTCGTTCCAGGTTTTGTGAAAGGACAAAACGGCCCATCGGCCGTAAACATCATATTCGGTTGGGTACTATTGGGTGGTACCAAAAAACCTAGTCCTAAAACCCTTACTTGCTGACTACCTTAGACTCTACCGTTAATGCTTTGAACCAGACCTTGAGAAAATTTTGGGAAATTGAATGTGTCCCTACCAAAGTCCCTCTCACCGACGAGGAACAAACATGTGAAGAGATTTTCTCGTCTACCTATTCTAGAGACCCCTCTGGCAAGTATATCGTTAGGCTCACGTTTGGAGAGACCTCCTCCAACCTCGGTGATTCTAGAAACCAGGCCTTGCACAGGTTTAATTTGTTAGAGGCAAGACTCAACAAAAATCCACGCCTTCGTACCTTGTATAACGAGTTCATGCAAGATTATGCCGACCAGGGTCACATGACCATCAGTTCATCCTGCGATTACCCATCGTATTATTTCCCGCACCACTGTGTGATGAAAGACGACAATGGTTCCACAAAAATTAGAGTTGTGTTTGACGGTTCATCTAAAACTTCCAATGGTTTAAGCTTGAACGATGTTTTATTAGTCGGACCTAAACTACAAAAAGACATCGTGAAAGTGTTAATATCATTTAGATTTTTCCCTGTAGTATTTAATACTGACATCCGTCACATGTTCCGAAATATCGTAAACGAACAAGACATCAAATACCAGAAAATTTTATGGAGATTCAATCCACTTGAACCAATCCGTGAATACCACTTACGCACCGTGACATATGGTTTAAACTGCAGCCCTTACTTGGCAATCAGGACACTGCACCAATTGGTAAACGACCACGGAAAAGACTACCCCCTCGCATCTTCCAGTATCTTAGACTCGTCCTATGTAGATGACCTGTTTTTTCGCTATCCATAGAGCAGGGATTGGAACTTCAAAGACAACTGATTGGGTTGTTAAATTGTGCAGGTTTCGAACTGCGAAAATGGACCTCCAACTGCCAAGAGCTTCTTGCGAACATCCCAGAGAGGCATCAACAAAGTATTTCGTTTTCAGATAAGGATTCCACAGTCCTTAAAGTATTGGGACTGCAATAGAACCCAGTGTTAGACGTCTTCTCGTACTCCGTTAAACCATTGTCCCGTGATTGTACAAAGAGAGTTATCTTGTCTGAGATCGCTCGGATTTACGATCCTTTGGGCTTCCTGGCACCAGTAATCGCGGTTGCCAAGTGTTTGATCCAACGTCTGTGGTTGCAGGGTATTTCTCGGGACGGCACACCTTCTAGCGACATCGTTACACTGTGGCAACAATACGTTTCGCAACTTCCTATGTTGTCTACCATTTCCATACCCCGTTACGTTGTAAAACACTCCGCTGTTACAATGGAACTGCATGGGTTCTGCGATGCTTCATCGACAGCTTACGTCGGTGCAGTATACATCCGCCAAGTTCACGACGACGGTGATATTGCTGTATCTCTCTTGTGCGCTAAAAGCAAGGTCTGCCCTCTAAAAATGCTATCCATACCTCGTCTGGAACTGTGTGCGGCCTTGTTGTTAGCAGAACTCATGTGTTTTGTTTCCGACAACTTCAAAACAATAAAAGTCCATAGCATTTTTGCTTGGTCCGATTCCAAAGTGGCTCTTGCCTGGATAAAATCGTGTCCTTCCAAGAGAAAGGTATTCGTAGCCAATCGTGTTACAACTATTCAAGAAAAAATACCACCAGATTGTTGGTCCCACATTAATGGTTTTGAAAATCCTACCGATTGTTCGTCCAGAAGTTTGCTTCCCAACCAATTCATTGATCATCCCTTGTGGTTCAAAGGTCCACCCTGGTTATCCTCTCCCTCAGAGCTGTGGCCCGTTTTTAACAACTTGCCTCCAGACGAAATCGATACCCCTACAGAAGAGAACCGATTAGCGTTTGTCACCAACCTATCGCCTTTAAACGACGTACAAATCTTACTCAACAGGTTTTCTTCGTTAGACAAAATCCAGAGAATCATCGCCTACTGCCTAAGATTTTATCGTAGAAAGTGCGACCCTGCCTTTTCATATTTTTCCAAATCCCTCTGTTTCGAAGAGTTATATTTTTCTCTTTATGTCATCGTCAGAGTGGTGCAGCAAGAGGTTTTCTCTGAAGAATTGAGGAGGATTCTGAAGAACGAACCTTGTTCCAAACCCCTTCGTAAACTTAGCCCATTCTTAGACACTCTGGGCGTTCTGAAAGTGGGGGGAAGGTTGCGTCACACGGACCTTGAATACGAAGTCAAGCATCCTATATTGTTACCCTGAGATCATAGAATCACCACATTAATAATAGAGAAATTCCATAAAACTCACGGACACCCAGGTCCTCGTCTACTAGAACATTTGCTAGCCCAGCAGTTCTGGATATTGTCCGTTAAGCGTGCCATCCGCAGTGTGATAGCACATTGCGTTATTTGTGCCAGAACCAACCCCAAACCTTACAGTCCATACATGGGCGACCTGCCCAAGGCCAGGGTCTCGCAGCTCAAACCTTTTTCCCACGTCAGTGTGGACTTCATGGGACCTTTTCAAATTACCTTGGCGAAGCGCAGATGCGCTAAAAGTATCTTCGTTTGTTTCCCCACCAAGGCGATCCACTTAGAAGCCGTATCTGACCTATCTGTCGAAGCTTTTCTAGCGGCCCTTCGTAGATACGTAGGCCGAAGAGGTCGGTGCTCTGCCATCTACAGCGACCAGGGAACAAACTTGACCGGTGCTAACAACCTTCTCTCTTCCTACTGCCGCCAGGCAGCGGAACAACTCGCCATCAAATGGTATTTCAACCCCCCAGCTGGGCCACACTTTGGCGGTCTCCATGAATCTGGGGTGAAGTCCACCAAAACCCACCTCCGTAGGATAGTCGGAAACCAAACCATGACCTTCGAGGAGCTGGCGACACTCTTAATCCAAATCGAGGCGATTCTTAACTCGCGACCTTTGTGTTGTGTCAGCCCAGACCCTAACGAACTTCTACCTCTAACGCCAGGCCATTTCCTTACTCTTGAACCCTTGACAGTCCCACCCGACCAAAGCCTCACAGACCAAAAAATTAACCGCCTCACCCGTTGGCAACTAGTGCAACAAATGCATCAGCACTTTTGGCGCCGCTGGCACGTAGAATACCCGCACTCGCTACAACAGAGGGAGAAGTGGAACATCCCCGATAACACCCGGAGTTTGGCACGTTAGTGGTTCTGAGAGACGAAAACTTGCCCCCATTGAGATGGACCCTCGGTCGAGTAGTCCAAATTTACCCAAGTCCTGATAAAATACCGCGAATAGTCCAAGTCAAAATCGCAAAGGGCCTGCTCGACAGACCACTGGTCAAAGTGTGCCCTTTACCAGCCAACTAGCCAACTTCCCAACCGTGTTTTGTCCTATATACTTGTTTTCAAAAGAGACAATTGATTACATCGAACCAATTGTCACTTGTTCCGCTCCGCTAGGGATACAGGAGTGTTTGCTGCAAAACCGTGCAAAGAGAATTTCGTTTAGTTTCTTCTTATTTGTTACATTTAGTTTTTTTTTTATAAAACATTTTGTATAAAAAATAGTATTTTTATAGTGGGGGGAATGTTCAGAATCCATTGTTTCTATTTTCAAAAGTCGGGTTAGAGACCTTTTGGGATCGCTAATTTAAATTTGCGCGTTCGCCCAGTTTCTCAAACCCGCGTAACCCATGTGACGGTTTGTGTGCAACCGCACAGGAAAAGGAGGAAGTTTTTTGACATTTGAGATTCGAAAAGACACTTCCGCATGGTCCGGCGCCAGAAACAGAGCCGATTCCGCAAGTCCGCGAGTTTCAGGCGCGAGTGCAATAAACGGGGCCCCGTCCGGAACCGACGACACGATAGCCTGCGGTAAGTTTTCAGTGGGTCGTTGCCTATCGTGTTCGTTTTTTTTACCATTTCGCATCCCAAAAGGGTTAAGCCAACCGTGAACCGTTCGACCCTATTGGAACCCTTAACAATGGGATCTTAAGGCCAGTTTATGCAAACATTTTGAGTATGTTTTCATTGTGGATATGGAATGGTTCAGTTTATCTGTTTCTTCAACTGTTTTAGCCAAAGGCGCAAGATCGCGTACTTCTATAGCATTGCCATCTCGTGATCGTGTATTGATCTCTTACAATAATTTGACGATAAAATTCGACCGCGGCTTTGACATTACTTGGTTGTAGTGGAATTTGTAGCAGAGATTTATTTTTTTAATAAAGCACAGTTCTTCTTCTTGTTAAAATAATTAACCTCGACACATATTTTTTTCGCAACCCATAAATCTTACGCCACGGCTCCGACGTCACGTTTATGGAAATAAAACCGTTATTACCTTATAATATTAATTTGCAATGCAACGCATACGCCATGTAAATTAGCCGTACGTAGTAAAAATCGGGCAACCTTAGCAGACAATTGAAGTTTAACGAAAAAAAAGTATTAACAAACTAGTCCGCTTTCTATTTATATATTTTTAATTAAGCGATAAAAACTAATTAAATTAACATTTTATAATAAGCGCGCGGTTCATTGATCAGCGATCGATTTTCTACCTTGCCTCTAGACGTTTTCGATGCCGTGCAGACCATTATCAAAGACCACGGACTGCCTTGCAATATGTGGGTCGGCCACGACTACAATTACGTCACCGCAGACCCCCAAGAGGTCAAAATCGTTCTCAACCATCCGAACTCGTTCGATAAGATGAGGATCTACGATAATTTCAAACTGGCGTTCGAAAATTCGCTGCTCCTCGCTCCAGGTACTCGAGGTTATGTTCCTCTTCTTCTTCTGTAACGAAACGGACTTTTTCCAGTCGACTTGTGGAAGAAGAACCGCAAGTTTTGCTCCAAGAGCTTCAGCCAGCCGATTCTGAACAATTTCGTTGAGTATTTTTACAGAAAAAGCTGCACATTGTTGGAGGTGCTGCGGGATTCCGACGACAAGGATAAATTCGAGGTGTTCGAGAGGTACACCTTCGACAGTTTTTGCGGTAAGCGTGTTCTTCTTTTCTCAAACCCGGGCGACTCAAGTCTTGCGATATAAAAAGACGGCTAATGTTGTATTAAATAAAATTTATAGTCACTTTGATGTTAAAAAATATTCAAAAAAGTACAAATTCATGGAAATTTAAATTAAAAAATAAATCTCTCCAAAAAAAAGTAAAATCTATTGGAGAGAAAATAGCAATGTGCATTTTTTCGAAAATATTATTTAAAAAATATATATGTATATTGGTGATTTTTTTTATTGCCCTAGAAATTCTAGATATATCTTTAATTTTTTTACAAAAATGTCGTTTGCAGGTTATACAACAATTAACAATTTTTCCTATAAGGAAGCCTTATTAATTATTTAATTTCAGGTGGGTCCTTGTCATTTATTGTGTGAATATTTTATATGTAAATTTATACAGGATGGGCAAAAATTAAGTACCACAAAATATATAAAAAAAAGTAAAAAGTTAATTTTTTCAAGGAAAACCTTGAAACCTTTCTATAATTTTATTGGATTTGGCATTAAAAATTAAGATGACTTTGTATAAGGCTGTAATAATCGTATAATCCGGTTATAAAGTTTTGTTTTTTATTTATTGAATATGGGAAAATCAGTAGACAAAAAATACCAAAAAAGTTTTTTTTTATTTTAAACAATAAGTGAGTAGTAATTTTAGTTTGCAACTAAAGTAATGTATACTGGCAAGATTCCTTGATTTTTTTGTTAACCCCCGCAGTTGACTTTTTTGGAGTGTTTAATTGTTTGTTAAAAGTTGAAAAATATCGGAACCTATTTCATGGCATTCCCGTTTTCCAGTAGTTTCGTCCCACAGATTAAAAAAAAACAGTTCCCTCAGCTTCACGGTGTATACCAAAGTTTACGCAAGCCAACTGACGACTAGAATACATCAGTGAATGTCAAGGATGATATATAGAACTGCTTTTGTAAAAAAATATAACATAAAAAATCTCTCATTTCTGCTCGCTTGCAGCCAGCCCTCATTATCTCATGAGCACTTTCTGTAAGTTTCGCTTCATCTCCACGCCTTTTTCAATGGCGTTGGGAGCTTGTTTTCGATCGACTTTGTTTAAGTCCCATTTGCTACAGGTGTGAACTTTTGGAGGGCCAAAGGAAAGATTAAAGTTATGTTTGAAAATGTTATTAAGCCATTGTCTAGACACAGGCGGTCTAATATTTTCTGTTGTGTACATTCTAAGAAATGCGAAGTTTCCAAATGTTTAGATCTTCGGACAAATATTTTGTGGAACTTTTATCTCGTCCATAGTGACCTTATTTAGATAGGATTGAAAAAAAATTTGATGATCTTGTTTTTGCGTCCTTTCCCTCCTTTTTCTCGCAGTATACGTCTCGCGAAATGTTTTTCTAAAAATTTCCACTTTAAAGTTTCCAAGAAGTAGTAATAATATTTGTACGTACATTGCCTCCTACTCCCAAAATATTAGCAGCATAAACATTATATTGTCACATTCTAATAGTCGCATTAAGAGGTACAAGAGACAAGAGAAGTCAAAGATTAGAGGCGATAGGTCACAACTGCGGCAAGTAACAAACCTGCGGAGGACTTGTTTTACCTACAAAGCAAATTTCATTCATTCTTTTTGTTAGGCTGTCCATTGTTTTTCTCTCTTTACTGTCTTGACGAACGTTACCGATTTTAGTCTTACAAATTGATATACTTGGAAATTCAAAAGCAACGTTGCAAAGAAAATCGTTACAAAAAGCTGTATATTTTCGGAAATATTGTTTTTAAAAATACCAATTTAAACAATGTTTTCTATTTCTTGAAAAGGGGAAGATTTTTTTTATTTTTTTTTTACATTTTTGTGACAACTATATATTAATAAGCCAAAAAATAGCAAAATACTTTTTTTTAATTTTAAATAAAAAGTCGTAAAAATAATTAAATCAATAACTTTCGCTGTTATTACGTAGAAGGAAGTTGTAAACCGCTCTTGACATTTGCTTTTATGTAGCAAAAGACGAGTGACGTCAGTACCGAATATTTTTGAAGAAAAAAATGGCTTCGAAGTAAGAAAATAAAAAAGACATTTTTATGTATGATAGATATTTTTCTACTCCCGTCTGTAAAATGCCTAATTACGCACCGATCTAGCGTGCGAAAAGCGTCGCTTTACCACGTCAGTTTCGTTTCCCACGAATCCGAGGCACTTCGGACATTTCCGGGATATTACCGCACGGGTTTGAGCACAATCGGATGTTTTCGGAGATATTTCCCACGCTTTGAATTTTGACGTTGTATGTTTTGATGTATTCGTGTTTTGCGAAAATGTACCCAAAAACTAACGGTCGTAGAAAAAGTATAGTATGCAACACGTTTGGTAAACTTTTTAAAATAATATATAATATATAAAATATAATATATTATAAACATTAAATAGTTAAAATTTCAAATTAGAATGAATAGCCTAAATTGGAAAACAAGAGTCTTCGATTATATGTTTTTATAGGAAATTAGGGATGATTTTTCACATACAATGTGCCATAACAAAGTTATTGTAAAAAATTCATGGTAACAATTAAAACGATAATATGTACAAATTTTCTGGATTCTTCCGGCTTCAATTGTTGATGATTCGAACTGATGGCTTCCTCAAATCTTAACTGAAACAATGTAAATCCATGCAAGAGTCTTCTAAAAAAAATTTCAAATGATTTCGCATTCTAGCGAAAGATTTACCTCCGAAAATTCCAATCGGGCAGAAAGATTATGAAATAACACAAACAATCTCGTATTATTGTATTAACGTATACGACAAGGAAAACGATCTCCATTACTATACTTGTCTCGTTCTATATTAAATTTGCGCAGCAAAGTTCATATCGACCACTTCGCTTCGATTTAAATAATTACCTCTCCGGGGGTTATTATATTGATTGGCTATTTTTTTGACAGAAAGCATTATCGGGTTGGACTACAATTTGCAAGTGAAGCCGAAAGTTCGGCTGGTCGAGTGGATCGGCGAGTAAGTCCCGAATCATAATAAATTTCCCGTTTGAAATGAAAAATGGCCATCGTAGGTTGCAGTCTATCGGCGGGAGGCGGCTGATCACTTCGTACTACTACCCCCTCCCCGTGTGGTTGTTTTCGGGAGAGGGCAGACGCGCCTACAAACTGCTGCGCAACGTCATGACACTTATATACGGGGTGAGTTGAAACTAAATTGTTGAACTTGTTAGGTAGCTTGAACATAAAATATTTTTTGGAGAAAAAAGAACATCGCGAATTATCTACGTAAAAACGGAAAGGTGATGTGTGTATCCTCTGGAGTCCCTCAGGGTTTGATTTTGGGACCTCTGTTATTCTGTGTTTATTACCCTTATGACCGTGTCTGCATCACTTTTATGCAGATGATAATCAGATGTATAAGTTTTTTTTCATAGATGTTCGTAGATACTCATTGATACTTTCATGGCAAATTGCATAACATTAAATTTAAAACATAAAAATCTTGCAGTGACAAAATATTCTTTGCGATTGTGAAAAAAAAATTAGTACACAGGCTAAATTTTAATCTGATAAGCACGTTACTCTATCAGGTAAGATTTTTTTATCAACATAAAAATAATTAATAAAGGAAAGTCTCGATTGATTTAAACATTATTTTTATTAGTACAAGAACAAAAACGATATTAAAAAATGTAAATTAAGTAACAAAATCTCAAACTCTCTCTCTCTTAGCCGAAAAATTTCATTAAATCACTTTTTAATGATCAGCAATAATCTGCCATCATTGCAACCTTCCATCGACAGTGATATCTGCCTTAAATTTCTTTAATATCTTGATGGTTTTCTTTATTAATAAACAAGTGAACGACTTTGTCCAAAATACCCTATAAATTCTCGATCTTCCTGAAATATAAAATTTTTATTTCGAAGTCTGGATGCTAAATTTTCGGAAGAATCCTAAGTCTCCCACTAAGTCATTAAGTTCTGATTGTGAAAATAACTGTGATATTGTTTTTACTACATATATCCTAAAAACTGTACTTCATTTTCTGTGTTTCCCCGATAACATTCTGCTAATTTATGCAAAATGTATGCCAGTGGTGTAGCAATTTCAAATTTTAGAATATTATTTTTAAAATATTAAACATGAGATCTCAACAGTTAATTCAGAAATGTTGTCTGATAGAAACAAAAAAACATTGTTTTTCTATTAATATAGTCTCTATAACTCCAAACGTGTGAAAAAAAGCAAATCACAAAATCTTTTTTTATTTTCTAGACTGGGCTATCGGTATTATTGCCTTTTTTTAAGATTGAAATCTTTTAAGTATCATATAATAATATATTACCTAGAGTGAGACTTTTATTTATGTTGTTTTAAACATTTAGATTTTTACTTTATATCTACAATTGATATTTGATCAATGTAGATTCAGTTTTAGTCCCTATATGACTAATTAGAATAATCGGATGTTTTCGGAGATATTTCCCATGCCTTGAATTTTTACGTTTGTCAATTCTGATTCGTGTTGTTTTGAGAAAATATACCCAAAAATTAACGATCGTAGGAAAAGTATAGTATGCAACACGTTCGGTAAACTTTTTAAGTCACTCGTTTATTAAACACTCGCTCCGCTCGTGTCAAATAAACTCATGAGTCAAATGCCGTTTACTGCACTTGGTGCATAATATACTATTACCACAAGGTCGTACAGTGAATAAAGAGTATTACCTTGAAGTTAGGCGCAGTTTGCGAAAAGCAAAACGAAGAAAACGCCCGGAATATTAGAAAAACAATTCATGGATTTTTCATCACGATAATGCACCTGCACTCATCGTTGCTTGTGCCTAACTTTCTGGTCAAAAACAAAACCACAATCATGCCTTGCGACTTTTTCCTGTTCCCAAAACTGAAAAAACGCATGAAAGGAAGGAGGTTTGGAACGACTGACATGATAAAGAAAAAATCACTGGAAGAACTCAAAGCTACACCAGAAAGTGCTTACCAGAAGTGCTTTGGGGATTGGAAGAGATTTGAAGAGGATAATATTAATTTTGATGAAATACTTTTTGATAAAACTTAAAAGTCACCTTACTTTTTGAACATACCTCGTATGCTGGGTGCACTTTTCAAACGCATATATATACGAAGTGAGTTAAAATTAATCCATCGAATTTAATTAATGGCGTTTTTAGGTTATCCGGGACAAACGGAGGGCGTTCAAGGAAAATCCAAGTACGTAAACCCCGTTCGAACGTGTATGGCGGTATTATAGGGTCTGCTTTGTGTTTTATATTAGTTTGCGTCGATGCGAATAGTCCGGGCCTGACCTTGCTGGACGCCATGTTGCACGCGGAGGGCGAGAAGTTCAGCGACAAGCAGATCTTCGAGGAGATGTTCCTGTTCACCACAGCGGTGAGTACTCAAAATTAATTTAATTTAATTTAATTATTTAATAATGATAAATAATAAAATAATAATATAATTAATATACAGCGTGTAGAAAAATACCAATTTTCAATCTCGATTAACTGAAGAAACATAAATTAATATACACTGTTTAGAAAAATACTGGTTTTCTCTCGATTGGCAAAAAAGACATACTTAAAAATAGCCATAGGAACTTCACTATCATTTCTTTTAATAATTTTATTTTACTTATCAATTACTGCATTTTTGACTGATAAAAAAGTCGAAAAATACCAAAAACAAGAGGAAAACAAAAGATATAAAAGGGATGAAAGAAATATATTTAATACTTTAATAGCACAACTGTTCAAATAGATTTGTAATTAAGTTTTAAAAGAGAATAAATATATAATAATAAAAAATTAAATTAAATTAAAAACACCAACTTCTCAAAATCTCGATTAGCAACAAATATACTTATTAAAATAATAATAATTTAGCAAACACTGTGTGGAAAAATTATGGTCTTCAATATTTCGATTGTGAACATAAAAGCTTATCAAAATTGGCATAAAAACTTCGCTACCATTTCTTTTCCTTAATTTTGTTATTATGTTAAACTAATTTATTTTAATTATCAATTAGTTAAATTTTTTACTAGTTAAAAACTGGAAAGTGAAAAGGATAGGAAAGTGAATAAAACAAATAGATTTAACTTTAATGTCACCACTAATCAAATAGATTTGTACTAATATTCTAACAAAAAAATAAATAATAAATAAATAAATAATAGATTAATAACATATATTAATATATAGTGTTTATAAAAACACCAATTTACTAAATCTGGTTTAACAAAAAAGAAATTAACAAAATGGCCATAAATAAAAATTTCGCTATCATTTCATTCACTAAATTTGGCTATTATTTGAAACTATTTTTTTTTAATTATCAATTAGTAACATTTTTACTTACAAAAAAAAGTCGAAATATACCGAAGACAAGAGAAAATTGAAACATAAAAAACATAAACTGATTAAATATTTTTGTACTAACATTTTAATAGCAAAATAAATTATAAATTAATAATAAAATAATAACGTAAATCAAGACACAGTGTTTAGAAAAACACCAGTTTTCAAAATCTCTAATAATAGAAAATCAAAATCTGTAAGATTGAAATAGCTTTAATTTTTTGATATCACAACAGATCGAAATTGTAACAGGAAAATAAGTAATAAATAATAAATAATAAAATTAATAATAACAATATTAATATACACTAGAAAAATAATAGCTTTGAAAATCTCGATTGGCGAATAAAAAAACTTCTTCATAAAAAAAGTCCGAGCGTTCCAAACTTTTCTCGACAGCGTCCCGACGTAATTATTCCGCGGTTGATTTAAATTATCACTCGGTTAATTCGAGTGGTTCGTATGTTCGTATAGGTTGCCTTTCCAATCATTGGACTCTACTTTTTTTGCTACACGGCTTCCGAGAATTTTCCTGCTGCAATCCGATCGGGTGACTGTTTTTTTTTTAACGGCGACTAAAATGTCACAATATTCTATTGATTACCGTTAACGATATACCGAGCGATGAGCTTGAAAATCCGATATCTATATCGTGAAATTATGAATTTGAAATCTCGGTGATCAAATTTTTAGCTGCAGTTTAAAACAGATTTTTAATGAACTGATAAATAATTGCTGTATCATTAAAATTCCGTGTTCAAATGAAGTCAGCATATTTTCGGAAAACTGTTGGCAACTTTTAAATGGATACAATTATGGGTAAATTAAATCCCTATTTAACGTTTAGTTTTTATGTGGTTATCTAGGCTGATATTGAAAAATGTTTGACATCTATGAGAACTAGCGCAGTTCTTATAATTAATGACAGAACACAATTAAGACCACTAATTCAGGTCAGTTTCGTATCGTATTAACCGATACTTTTTTGTTTTATTCAATTAAAAAATCTTAATTTTTACGAAGAGCTGGGGGCAAAAAAACACTGGACTTGAAAAATCATATTCTTAAAATTGGGTTCGGTATATCGAATATTAGGAACATATGTAAAAGAACGCGCAAGTAATTTGTTTGTCAGTTCCCGCGCATTCTTCATTCTTCCCCTCTTGTATTCTGCAATAAAATGTTGTTATAGTTAATACAATTTCAATTGGTGGTAGTGTTCTTTGTAGGAGTGTATAGCAAAATTATCTTCTCTCTATTTAACTGATTCCTAATATCAGATATATGGAATCCTAATATGGGATATGCAATATTACGAAACCAAAACTTGTTTTAGAATCCTTTTGGGAGAAGAAAAAAATCGACTCAAGGATTTATACATAAATTAAGAGACTGAAATTTACTGAATCCTATTAATTATGACAAAAAAATTGGTCTTACTTAATGGTAATATGACGAAACTAAGGTAGGTGTCTTAAAATTTTGACAGCACACAATTTCAATCACAGCAAACGATTTTGACTATTATCTCGATTGATGGGGACTAAAATATAGCTAAGAGGACTTGTTTATTGATTGCATATGATTTTGTGATTCTATGATTTGAAAATAATGATATTGGTAAAATGTCGTCCTGTTAAACATTAGTTCTAGAAATACATTCTATTTTTCATGAAATATGTAGAGGGCGCCACTTGCACTCTATACTTTCAAATTGTTACACAGTTATGACCGTGGTGATGGATTTCTTGAAAGTCACTGTATATATATTGCAAGCTCGATCGGTTTGGGAGAACGGTCGCGCTTTTTTTTATTTTAATCGTCGCTACCAAGTCGATCTGCTCAAGGTTTCTCGACGTTCGCCATTGCATCAAGAATTACCCAATTCCTTTTTCAAACTATACTAATTAAATTTGCTTCATATTCTGCATACGAGAGTCTCGAAACCAGACAAATAATACTGTTGGAATATCAGGTCCATGTAAGTCGATATTATCAGCGATGCGCTGTTGCCGCGTTTTCGAAAAAGTACAATCTTTAACATTCTGAGTACTTTCTTTTAAGTAATTGATTTCCTTTTTTTTTCAATCCTGTGAAATTGGGAAAATCTCCGAAACTACACTAAGAAATCTATAAAGCTCGAGCAAAATGACAGACATCTAGGCATAATGAACGAATAAAATGACACGTTACCGTGTCACCTGGTCGCCTTGTGTTTCTAAAACTGAATCATAACTTCAGCTTCATCTAAATAACTACAAAAAGAACAAATTTTAGTTTTAATGAGGTTAGCCAAGCTGATATTAAAAGATGTTCTTCTATAAAATTAGTGCTACTTTATCTTACAATCTATTCACTCTTATAACGAATCACCTGACACACATACAAAATAAATACATTCGATGTTCCACATTTCTTGATTCTTGGAGAATGTCCAATGCGATTCCACTTACAAAAATTTTGAGCCACCACATATCACATTGACATATCTTGTTGAAGAACTTTTGAAATCTTTTGGAACTGTCCTTTCGATTATTAAAATAACTAATGACTTCTTTTGTCAAATCGATCGAAATAAAGTATCTTGCCCGAGTACAGCAAAGCTTTTGACACTGTTCATACTGATTTTATTTGTCAAAAGTGTTTTTTTTTTGGTTTTCGAGATAGGTCTACTAAATTAATCAACTTACTTTGACAGAGGATACTAATCTACGATTGACAAAACATGTCAATGCTGCTATTGATTGCTTAAAAAACTCTATGCAAATTGTGTAATAATGGTTTCCCACCTTAAATTATCTCTAGTGACAGACTCCAGAATGCTTATTGCTACACATGGTCTTACAATAATAGCAAATATCACAGGATCAGTCTCGTTATAAGCAAAGAGAAACGTTTGAAACTTACATCATTGAGATACCTTCACTTAAAAACGTTAGACTACTGTAAGGATTTTTTAAAATAGAAGTAAAAATGCCTTTGAGTTAGTTTTTTATTCAGTCAGTCAAGTACATCTCCCACAATGTATAAATAAAGATTTTTGCTTTAAAAAAGTTAACCAAATGAATAAAAACTAATTTTCTGAAAAATATTAAAGCATTTAAAATTCTAAAGAAGGTATCATAATACTAAAATCGATATCCTCGTTTCACCAACGTTGCAAATGTTCGAGGCAGGATATTTAACATCGACCATTTCTTTCTCTAATATATTAAAGAAAATCGTCACGCTTTCGTTGTTAAAATCTTTTAATCGTGCAATCGAGGTTCCTGTTGGACGGCGAATGGATAAATTAGAATTACTTGATCAGTACTTGATAAGCAATTAACTTAATGTCGCGTCTGCTCAAACCAACCAGTTTCGGGGAAAGCTTTTTGCTTTTGCGATAAAGCCATACAAAAAGTACGGCTTTTAATATGGACCGCTGGTTCATATTGGAAACTGATAGGTGGTCCATAAGAACTAAAAATTTTTTCGTTAAGTCGTTAAAAAAAAACAATGCAATCATGTGCTTAAATATTTAATAACCTATTTACTAACTAAATCCTTTGTATAAATTATACAATAGAGTGAAGATAAGACCATATATTTTGTTGAATGATTTTTTATTATAATGTATTGATTATTGATTATTATCGATGAGTTTTTTTCACTTTATTTAAAAGCGCCCTTTGGGTAACGTTTCTTGCTTTTTTGATAATAAAGATACAATAATTTTAGGTAAATAAAGAATCTAAAATAAGTGAAAATAAAAAAGCCAAATCTTTTCTGCCGCTATTTATTCGGGTATGCGATTAAAAAGCGTTCTTTACACAGGCCACAGATACTTCCGGTTACACCCTGGCCTACATATTCACATTATTGGGGATGCACGCCGACGTACAGGTACGTACTTTGTCGCACACATCGCTTATACAGTGCGGCCCATTTGAATTGGAAAAAAATCCCTATTAAAATGGGAATTTTTACCGGTACCGATTTAAACGCACCGCAATGTACTTATACAAGGCGTCCCGCAATTTTCCGATATTTTAACCGCCTCTTTCGCTCCCAAAACAGAGATAAGTTCTAAAAAAGTTTAAATTAATTTACAGGCTATATTTTTACAGGAACATGTAAAAACAATGTTATTTTTAGTATATATTTAAACGGTTCAATTCCAGTAAAATAGGCACAATCAATGCACAATCGGATACTTTTTTATCATAATTTTTTTCTCGCTTATTTTCTGCATTAATTATTTCCTTTAGGTTGAACACAATTTTTTTAATTCCATTCTCAAATTCTATCTCAAATTTCATGCATAGTTCACGTAAGAAAGCCTTACTTTTTTTTGAGAAAAAGAATACAAAACAGAAATTACATTTTTAAATGAACAGGTAATGAACTAGTGTCAATAAAGTTCTAATATTGTTACAATTATATTCCTGCCAGTAAAGAAAATCTCAGAGGATTGAAATTTTAATTTTTCTTGGTTATCGAGACAAAATGAGAAGTCAAAAAAAAGTTTTTAATTTTTTTAATGCAAAATATCCAAAAAGACCCCTTACAAGATCTATACTATAAAATGAACAGAACATTTATTAAAACAGGCATGTCAAAGAAATTGTACTAAGTGCTGAAAATGTCCATCATTAACTTCTTTCATTTTCATTCGCCTTATTTCATATCAAAAATTGAATTATATCTTCTAAATTTTGTGTTTTTCACTTATACACTTTTAATTTGAAATATTCCCAGAGGAAAAAATGCTGTGGTAATGTAATCTTCTATGGATGATAGTTGTCTTTTCTTAATACACGCAAAGCTGTTTGAACCTATTTTAGAAGATGTAGGATGAGGATTATCCTCAACTTCTAATAAGATGTCTTCTGCTTTCATTTGATTTTGAATCAATGTAGATGCCCTATTTCTATAACTTTTCTCTCAGTTTTACTGACTTCTTCTTGAGTTCTCGTTTTGTCTTTATATCCAATAAAAATAAAAAATTACTAGTAGTAGCGATTTATTCATTTTAAAATTAAATTTCTGTTTTGTATTTTTGTGCTCCTGTATATTTTCTGTTCACTACAAAAAATGCGCAAGAAAAAATTATCATTGACGTATGCTACCATATTTTAGCCGTTCCCGATATAAATAATGATACGAAATAATCTACAGGAAAATGTTCACAAGGACGATCGAAGGAACTTTTTTGAGATACCGTTTTAATATTTATTTAATGCTTTCGCCATAAACTAACTCATTAATTCAATACTGACAAGTTCTTAAATGGAAGTGTACTTGCCAGGCAATGAAATATCTTCGATAGTTCACATAAACACAAGAACACTGCATATTTTTATGACCGACCTGACAACACTGTAAAACGAGAGGTTTATCCTTTATCGGTATAATTTTCGAATGAAGCAACGAATACATTATTCCGTAAACTTTATCATGAACCTAACATCCTCGATTTTTAAGAACCAAATATTTCGGGACGCCCCGTATACGAAACAAAAGCACCTCGCGTCACAGAGCTCCGATCTAACGTGAAACGACAGTAAGCGCGACCTTACCTTCCTCTCCATCACTTCGTTTGACGTTTATAACTCTTGTAGATTGAGAAAAAGTCTTTTGGCGACTGGTCAACATGCTTATAGACTAGAAGTTAGACTGGAGTTTTCTGCTTTATATAAATCGAACCCGACGCACTGTGGAACGATCCTGCGTAAAGCATTGATTCTGTCAAACCCAAAGCTCTAAAATAATACTGAATATATAATATATAAATGAACATTAAAAAAAAATACATCATCCGATAAACTATAATTTTTAAGGGGAGACTATTGAGATACTCGTGTTAAGAATTAGATAGATCTTTATTTTTCAATCACCGTATTATTCCTTCAATAAGCGATTTAATTTTTGCCGATACCAATTACAAAGTTAAATTAAAATTTTATATATATATATATATATATATATATATATATATATATATATATATATATATATATATATATATATATATATATATATATATATATATATATATATATATATATATATATATATATATATATATATATATATATATATATATATATATATATATATATATATATATATATATATATATATATATATATATATATATATATATATATATTCTCACGTATTGATTCACGGATGGAAAAATATGATGACACTATATTCCGGGATATCATCCGTTCGCTCGTTGAACTCCGACTGGAATCCTGCATCCGACTGGAATCCTGCAAATCCTGCATCCGACTGGAATCCTGCAGACGTTTCGCCAAAATCTCACTTGGCATCTTCAATGCTCGCGCTCCGCGACTCCGCGAGTGTTCGAAGTGTTTTCGGAGCGCGAGCATTGAAGATGCCAAGTGAGATTTTGGCGAAACGTCTGCAGGATTCCAGTCGGATGCAGGATTTGCAGGATTCCAGTCGGATGCAGGATTCCAGTCGGAGTTCAACGAGCGAACGGATGATATCCCGGAATATAGTGTCATCATATATATATATATATATATATATATATATATATATATATATATATATATATATATATATATATATATATATATATATATATATATATATATATATATGTATATATATATATATATATATATATATATATATATATATATATATATATATATATATATATATATATATATATATATATATATATATATATATATATATATATATATATATATATATATATATATTGTCCGCATATTGAATGTGGGTATAAATGACCAACATTTTTTGAATTAGATTCTGATTTTCTGAGAATATCAGAATATCACTCCTAGAATTACGGTGCTAAGAAAACGAACCCCATTAATTCATATGCAGGGCGGTTTAGAACTGATCGGATAAAAGTGTTGAGAGTAACTTTATTTTAAAAGGTTACCAAGGATATTAAAAGGATGCGAATGATCTAATTAAAACTATTAAAATAAAATTTGATATGTAATTGAATCATTGATACCCGAGTTAATTTAAAAATATTAAAATTGCTGCCAGGATTTCGGGTTGAATCTTTTTCATTTTTGTTTTTAAAGAGGTTACTAATGGAAGCTATTAGGTTTTGTGTTTACAGTTTACATTTTTAAACATGTATAGTCAATCCATTATAGTTGTCAATATAAATTTATAGGCCATTACTAAAATATGTTTAATAACTTTTTAAATTCAATTATGTTCTTGATAGTTGCTGGTATTCTATTATATAATTTAATGCAGATGAAGTTAGAGTTTGTTTACACCATGACAGATACCGCACAGATGGTTTTGTTAAAGCTGAAATTCATTACTTCTTTAATATTGTGCAGTGATAGATGAATTTGGAAGGGACAGTTAGTATTTGCATTTTTTTAACACTCAATCTGTGTAAAGACTCTTCCTCCGAAATATAAAACAAAAAAACAGGCTGAATTAAAGTCAACTTAATTGTTATGCATTTTTTGTATTCATTTGCTCTAAAAAAAAATACTTTTTAAGATAAGTGTCAAATTAAATCGATATTTTCTTAAAAGGTGGCAGCTAGGGGCAGTCGATTTTTTTTAGATTTTCATAGTAGACGTCTTTCGCTATGAGATTTCATAAACACTTTTGAGGCAGAAATTAAACAAAAACATAAAGGGCATGTTTTTATTTTGTTTTTTATGGAACAGCCGTTTTTGTATATAAAATAAACTTGAGTTAAATTTATGAACCATATAATTAATGATCTTAACCTAATTGGCCTAATTAAAAACTCCTATATAATCAATTTGATAAATTTAAATCTAATAACAATTTTTTAAGTTCTCAGTCTCACCGTGTATAATATTTATACAAACAAAAATTTGAAAAATAATTAGCGAAATGAAGCAACCATTTTCAATTTTTTTTTTTCACTTTAACTTTAGTTTTCTGCATAACACAGAGTCGTTCCACTGTGCGCTGGTGTTACGCGTCAATCTTCGACGTACGTCGCGACAATCAGCTATCAAAAAAATTCCAAATGAAATCTTTCGTTTAGGAAAGGGTTTATAAGGAAGTAATGTGCACCGTAGGTCGCGACAGGCCCATCTATTACGAGGACCTGCCCAATCTGAAGTACACGGAGCGGGCCATCCTCGAATCCATGAGGATATTGCCGGTCACACCGTTCATAGGTCGCCTGTGTACGGGCGACATCGACCTCGGTGAGTCCTTTTAATAGTTTTTCAAAGAAACATCTACGGGCCACCGTAATATCGATTGAAACTGGAAAGATTATTCTGCACAGTGACTTTTTTGTTACGTTGTAGAAACCGTAACCCATCTGCTTATAAAATTCTTCATAAATCTAGTTCTACTTCCAGAAAGAATTCTCATACCCGTATAGAAATAGACCAAATCAATAAGACTTTTCGGTCTCTAGATCTTGAACTTGTTTCTATCTTGTCCCCATTTTGGTTTATCTTCTACCCAGAACCATACAACGCGACTTTAAATCTGCCATTAAAGCTTTGTTTCTATTGGAATCCGCGAAAAAATCTGTTACACTAATGCGTTACACTGATGATATATGTATGTGACGAATTATTTAAAAAAAAACCCAAAATAAAACAGCAAATAAAAGAAAATTTTAGGTGCACCCAATCCTGAGAGAACGGCCTACTTTAGGAAAATCGGAGATTGTACCGAAGTGGCTTTTACTTGATGAAAATCCACTTAAAATAGTTAAATAAGAACAAACGTTGTTCAGATTTTCACATAAATATATTTAAATGACAGCTGTTTCGGCAACACCGTGCCTTTATCAAATGCGAATATCAAACGGTACCGATGTTTATAAATACAAAACAGTAATTACTTAATGTGAGATTTAACAAGGGGGATCCATTCAAATCCAGTTGGTCATTAAGTAATACATTCGAACCTCTCATCTTATTAATCTCCATAGCTTCTAATAAATTTAATTTTCTACTTTTTGAAACAGTATGTAAAATATCGAAATTGTCGTCAAAATTGTGTTTCTCTATTGTTTTTAAATGATCGTCGATGTTCGTTGATACGTTATTTGAAAGATCTACCTGTTTGTCCAATATAAATCTTAGAACATGATCCGCAATTTAATCTATAGACTCCAGAATTCTGGGATCTATCTGATGATCTGAAACTTTATTTAATAAAGTTTCAGATCATCTCTCGAAATGTGGCCTCAAAATTGCTTTTAAAACTAATAACACCCTAGGAAAATTTGTTAAAAACAATAAATCTAAATCTAATAGATCCCAGAATTCTGGAGTCTATAGATTAAATTGCGGATCATATTCTAAGATTTATATTGGACAAACAGGGTAGATCTTTCAAAAAACGTATCAACGAACATCGACGATCATTTAAAAACAATAAATAGTTCAGATTCTAATTACGCTATACATTTAAATTTAGAAAAACACAATTTTGATGACAATTTCGATATTTTACACACTGTTTCAAAAAGTAGAAAATTAAATTTACTAGAAGCTATGGAGATTAATAAAATGAGAAGTTCGAAGGTATTACTTAATGACCAACTGGATTTGAATGGATCCCCCTTGTTAAATCTCAATTTAATACGTCACATTAAGTAATTGCTACCTGTTTTGTATTCATAAACATCGGTACCGTTTGATATTCACATTTGATAAAGGCACGGTGTTGCCGAAACAACTGTCATTTAAATATATTTATGTGAAAATCTGAACAACGTTTGTTCTTATTTAACTATTGAAAATCGGAGACCTTAATAATCACTCAGTTGAGAAGTGACTAATTATTTTGTCCACAGCTAACTACATTCAACCATCTACTGGCACGCGTTTCAGTGGGCATAACTTTCAAAATACGAGATTTAGAGATTGTATGTATTCTGAAGAAGTTGTCGATATTTTTAGGCAAGAAAAATTTCATTTCGTTTATACTTGTTTATTTAAATTAAATCACACAAGTGAGTCGTAAAAGTAAAAGTTTTAAAAATTTAAATTTAATTGTTAAGCAGAACTTGAATGTTGTGCTGCAGCAGATTATTTTTATCATTATTTGAAGTTTTGCCAGAATGGACAGTTCTGTCATGGACTATGGGGATAAAATCTTAAGGATATATCTCCGTTTTACAAACTGTTCTCACATAAAAACATACACTACAAGCTAAGAAATATCGACAATCTTTCTTCAGTCTCTAACCCTTGTATTTTCAGAGTTGATACCCAATGAAATTCTCAGTAGATGATTGAATACAGATATGACCATTCTAAAATAATTAAAAAACTTGTGTTCTTCACTTCTCAACTGAATGATTAATACCCGTGTTGCCCTAAATGATAAAATGAAGCAGCAAGAATCTTTAAAAAATCAAATTTTAAAACCCAATAAATGAAAGGCTATGGTACTCGTGAACACAACTGACTATTAGGGAAAAATCCTAGATGTTCTCGCAGACGAATTTTATCGTCAACGTAAAACAAGCTCCTACGTCATCTATGGGACGCTAGCTTAAATCTGACCTTTGAGCAAATCGGTCACCCCTCAGGACTCTAAAATCTGCTATTAAAGTTTTGTTCCTATTAGAAACCTTGAAAAAATCTGTTATCACTGACTGATTCACAAACCAGGATTACCCTTTAGACATATTGTTGGCACCATTGGTTCTACAATTGTCTAGCAAAATATCTAGCTTCTATATTAAAACCCTTTGTAGACAAAACTGATAGTTCACTTTATTGAACAAGGAAAAACCATTTATATCAGTTATTCTGGTTAGTTTCGACGTAGTCCCTTTTTACTAAAGTTCCTATTCCTGAAACTCTCAACATTATTTCAGATATATTAAGATGCGAGAATCTGGAATTAAAACTTCTCATCCTAATTGAACAATGTTTGTCTGGAACATATTTTTTTTCTTTACAGAGCCGTAAAACTATCTCAGCCCGAATCACGGGACCCAGAATTAAAACTCCTGCCTTTTTTCTCAAATAATTTTCACATTACTAAACTGTCTTTTACAAAATACACTTTCATCCCGTTTGCTTCTTGTATTATTAACTGTTTTAGCACGTACTAATCCAAAAAACAACATTTCATATGTCGAATCGATCCTAAACAAAGTGCCATCTCAAACGGCTAATGAAATTTGATTTGAAAACGCAAAAATCCTTAACAACTTAATACTTCCAAAATCTAATATTCCAAGGCCTCAAAGCAGGTAAATTCAAAGTTACGGTAGTCACGAACGCAACTATCAGAAAACGCAGAAAACGGTAAATACAAAGTTGTAAGGATTCTTAAGCTGCACAATTTAAAATTATTTTCGTGTATACAGGGTGGCTTTCAAATTTTATTTTGAATTCCTTTTAAAATTGTCCAACGATTTTATTGATAATGATTCATACCTAAACCTAATAATTTTTTAATTTTAATTTTTGCAAAAAATACTAGTTTTCTCACTTGCCAAAAAATGATTGATCACATCACATTTGATATGATCTTTATTCGAAGATGACGTAAAAAATATATTAGATGCCTAAAGATGTTCCAAATAAACGAATATATTTGGATTATTTTAAATTAAAAAATCTCGATTTTCTTAAATAGCCCGCCACATATTATTATTTTCTCTGATTTTTTTATTCGTCAGGTGTTTTTGAGCTACTCTGTTTTCTTTAAAATAATCTTAAATTGTGCCAACTAATAATTTCTACAACTTTATATTTACCATTTTCTCATAACTTTTGAAACCAATGGGAGAATCAACTTTACTCTATCGTGAACTTATCCTGTACAATTCCAAAAGTAACCCCACATGTCTACAATGGTTCTTCTTTATTACGTCTTACGGTAGAAGTTCATAAATCAAGACGATGGTTGAAGTGTCAGAATTCCTTTCGGAAAACACTTCATTCCAAATAAAGTTAATTCTCTGTTTATAGCAGTCAATACTGCGCCCCTTCCAAATCTTCGAGATTCCTTCTGCGACGGCTGTTGACTGATCGATCTTGCTAAGGTTTCGCCAATCATCCTGTTGGTTTCTTCAGAGCTTAACTGATACTAGTTCAGTTTGAGCAGGAGATTTCTAAATGAGCTTTTCCAAGCAAGATGTCTACCATTAACGTGAAAATCAGATCTGACTCTAGGACCTGTAATTTACATATACCTTTGTTAAACATTGTATTTTGTATAAAAGAGGTATATCTGAACGCAAAAATGCAAGAAAGTTTTCTCGGAAAAGTACCATTTCCTTTCCTTACACTTTAGTTTTCTTGACATGTGGAGGCAGTCTATAATCTAGACGGATTAATTTTCTTCAATTTTCGCTCGGTTTTGGTTAGTACCAGATTATTAATGGTGGTGCGAAACCGCCGCAAAGGCGGTCGACAGCGGAGTCAGTGTATTTCTTTTCAGATTTGGTTAGTTAGTTGTCTCGCATTTCCGGGAAAAAATTCTTTTATTCTTTTATAATATTGAATCAAAAAATGTTATGTATCGGATTTAAAGTAAAAGATTTAAAGATTTAAAAATATGTTCTTGTTGTTTTTTTGTATTATTTGTAGCTTGCGTGCATTTGTAAGCATTGCGACAAGGCGGTTTGTGACTTCGAGGAAGTTTTTTAAATTCCATGATCTACAGATACAGATTCAAAAATGTTTTGCCTCTAAACTAATTATTATTTGTTTCCGAAGCAAAATGGTATGTAATAACTCAGCTCTTGTACTAATCGCGTGTTCTTTGTCGCAGGGTGTCCCTTCAACACATCCCGAATAATATGCTTCTAATTTTTGTACGATTTGTCCCGAATGATCAAATAGTATTACAGTAGCCTTGTGGTGGTTTCTTTGAAAAATATGTACCTCTCGTAAATTTGTAATGTGGCCGAAAAGTAGGTTGAGCCTTGCGCTCAAAATTTCTCACTATTGCAGGCACGAAGATCGTGCCGGAAGGTTCGAACGTGTTTATAAGCGTGATCGACTTGCATCGCGATCCAAAACATTGGCCGGACCCGTTGAAATATGATCCCGATCGTTTTTTACCGGAGGAGACGGCCAAAAGGGAACCGTACGCTTACATACCGTTCTCCGGGGGATGCAGGAACTGCATAGGTAAGTTCAAAGGTTTTTTTAAGGCATAGTTAAAGGTGTCATAAAAAATGGTCGATGAAGGCGCATTTCAGAGTGATATAAAACAGGGTTCTCAAATTCTTCTTTTCGTTCCTTTGAATTCGTCCCAAACCATTAAATTTTTGAGCCAAAAGGTTCTTCTCATTCTGTCCTTGATATTTCCTTTCATGATATTTTGTGACGTCGCATATTTACGTCCTCTGATTACGTGACCAAACTATTCTTAGTTTTTTTCCTGTTTCTGAATTCTTTGTCCCAGTTCTAGGTTTGAAACTCTATCAGTCATGTCCATAGTTGCCCTTTTACACCAGCGATAAAAAAAAAGTCACTCATGGATTTTTTTAAAAAAAGCTTATCATCGAATCGTCGATCTAGTAGGTGGTAAATTATCCATTTTACTCTATTTGGTTATCTGAATTTTAAATTAAATCGGCATATCCTAGGTTGGTTTTTATGATTTTGTCCCAAAACAGAAAATGTCTGTTATAAACAACGTCCAATCAATTTTTATTTGTAACTAACGAAACGAGTAACAATTAGCAATATCGAGAAAACCTGAAAATTAATAACGGGTATTCTCTCCTCTTGCGTGTATGAAAAAGCATGTTTTCAATTAAATTACGAATTACGTTCTGGTCAATGTTGTTCCATTCGTGCATTAGCAACTCTATCAGTTCTTGGGCACTTCTTGGAGCTGGCTGGTGTCTGTCTACGAATACGTAGTCCCATCTCATCCCATGTTCGATGGGATTCGTGTCTGGATTGAGTACTCTCCAATCAAACCGCCCAATTCCCACTTGATAATTCTGAGCAACTCTGTCCGTGTTTCCGAATTGATTCCCGCCCAAACCATAACTGAACTACCACCATGTGGAAATTTTTCATCAATACAACGTGGGGCATATCTTTCACCGGGTCTATTCCATACTTTCGGATATGAGGTGAGGTAAAAACTAGATTCATCGGAAAACAGCACCTTGACCATTCATAATCATTCCAGTCTAAGTGATTTCGGGCAAGAGTTAATTTTACTATTCGATGCCGTCGGTGCATCTTCCGACAAGGCAATCCATTAGCAGGAAGCCTTCTTCTAACAGTCCATTCGCTAACATTAACTTACATTTCTAGTTTCTCGAAGTTGATTTCGAAGCCAAACAGCAGAAGCTCGGCTATTCCGCCATCTTGGGTACACTTGACAGGATCCTGGTCTTCTAGTGATCAAGCCACTTTCGTCGTAACGTTAGTATACATTTTGTACAGCCCATAGACTCTTACCAAAAATTCTTGCAGTTTCCTGCTTTTCTCGACTTTCTTGTAATAATCCTACAATTCTAGCCATAGCAATAGCAATAACAATCTTAGCTCTAAAATACACCAAGCAATCATAAATTTTACGGAGATTAATGAACAATAAACTGGAAAGTACTCACCGCACGAATTTTTAATTAGGTTGAAAGATAACAAAGATATCCCTCCGCATTTGCCAGGAAGCATAGACCAACGATTCGGTGATAAACTTTTTTTTCCAAATTGTTTGTAATTTTTAAAAATGATTTTATGAGATCTCCAATGTTTCAAGTAGTCGTCCATGTTCCTAAGTAGTCGTGTTTTCTTATTCTTTTGCATCATTGTATTGTCTATGGTAAGGATTCCATTAACATTTGCCTCACTTGTGATAATCGTGTATTTAGTTTTCTATAAATTCATGTTTCATCAAATCGTATAGTTTGGTTTTTTTTTCAGTCCTTAAAGTACAACGGAAGACTCGTAAAAAGTTATCCATTACCAAGAAAATGACTGACAGTAATAAATCAACCAATCAATCGGGTAGCTTTCTCAATAGTAGAGAGTTTTATAACAAGATTTTTGTCCTTTGACAGTATCTCCGTTCTTTTTATCCACTCTTATTAAATAAAATGCAGCGATTGGAACCATAGACAACGTAACATAACCTATTCCTAAAGACAGTTCGGATATAAATGTAGACAAGCTTATATTGCCAACTATAATTATTTGGTTGATTTTCAGTAAAAACTTGGAGAGTTGATAGTTACCATTTGCCGATGTGCTTGTGACAAACTTTTCGGATGAAGGTAGAATAAAAAAACGAAGTAGACAGGGAAAAGCATTTAACAAATGTTGTCCGCGAGTTCAGTCACACGGAGTAAAAAAGTTCTTTAATAACTTGAAATTTCATCATCAGTGCTTCGAATTTTTCACAAAAAAGGTGTTTTAGAAATATGATATGTTTTAGAATTATGGATTATGGAGACTTCCGTAGATACATAGATACGTCAAACTGTCCCTTAACATTCACACTCGAACGCTACAATCAACTTTTCGGTACTGCTCGATAGACGAAGCATGAAATTATACAGGGTGTTCCAATAGTGCGTCAAAGATGTATATATCTTTTACTATTTGTTTAAAAAAAATGTTAAATACAAAAGTTATAGATAACACTAAAAGAAAACAATTAAATATTATTTTCAAATATACAGAGAAATTGATAAATATGTGGGAAACACCCTCTATATTATTTATAAAAAAAGCAAAATATTAATGTTGCAATTTTAATATTATCAACAGCGTCAAAAACCTATTTAAATTGCTTTTCCAAAGTCTCGGATTTAATTAATTGATTCCGCATTACATTTTGTATTAACATGTAACGAATGAAACTCTTCACTGGAACCTTCGGTACTGTACTAACACACAATAACGCGTTTTACCACAAACCGAAACTCAATTTTACGTACTTGACGCGCGTTTCGCCAACCAAGTTGGCATCTTCAGGAGAAGATTAAAACTGTTTTAATTTAATTTTAATAAATAAATTAATAAATTATTGAGATGGGCACATATTTTTTTCTCAAGACATACGGCGGGACACGTACGACAACTCTTCCGCAAAATGTTAATATATTAAAAAGTGGTACCTTTGACATTTCCACTCTTCAATTGCTCTAACTGAACTTGAATGGTCATATTTTTTGCATATTAAAAAAACCCCGCCGCTCTATTATCCTTGAGAAGAACCAAATTCCTACTATCTCGTATAAGTTTGTGCATCTCAAATTAATTAGGATCAACTCTAGCTCGAAATGTGAATAATTTCTTAAAGTTTGTTACATTTTGCACCAGTCAGCCACAGCTCATCGTCAGAAAACGTTTAACGGATTTTCAGGTAAACCGTATGCGCTAATGCTTATGAAAACGGCTGTGGCAAACGTAGTCAGGAATTACGAGATTTTCTCGAAATACCGGTCGGTGTCCGAGCTCCGGTTGACGTCCTGTATAACGATGAAGACCGTCGACCCGATCGATTGTCGGTTCAAGTGGAGAGCGCAGGAGTAAAAGTCTTCCTCTTTTTTAACGTTTTGAATTGGAATCCTACTAGCTTAATACAACTAACCAAAACTAGAACCCTCCTTTAGTGTCTCGTAGCTAAAATAAACGTTAAAGCGATGAACGTCTTTCATTACCCAGCCTAAAAACTGCACGTTACGAATTGGTCAGACGACCATGGGCCAGTGGCCAGTGACCCGACGGACATTGTCGTCAACAATGAAACACAGAGAGCGGACTGTCAAAAAAGCGGATTTCTCTTGGTGCGTTTCCATCGCTTACTTAGATTGCATGCAAATGTAACCTGTTATTTAAAAACAAAGAAATCTGCTTTCAATTTAATAAATTTATTTAAGCATAAAACATAACAATAACAATTTTAACAATTGACAATTTTTGGCAATTTAAATTTTTGATGGTTTAAGTGTTCATCATTGGTAAACTTGTTTATGAGTAGAGATATAAAGTCGGTTAAATTAGCACACTAATAGCATTTTTTCCGTTGATTACGATGGGGAAAACAGAAAAACAATTAAATGTAGGGTTTAGTTTCTAAATGGAACATCCTGTATATTTTTTACTTTAAGATTCGTGAGTCATCAACAGAACAAAAAAGGTAATATTTGCTATATTAGTCTAAATGTGAAAATAACCGAATTATCAGCACATTTCTCTTTTAGACTAATGGTTACGAAATAAAACTTTTTTCCTTTTATTGTTTTATTCGAGCCTAAGAAACACTAATAATAAAACCAATTTCCACGTCTCCATTTGTTATATAATTTTTTTGACTCCTTCTTCTAGCAAAAACGGTTTCATAATTCCGAAAGATTCGATAAAGCTGCAGAAAAAATCGTTCATAGAAGGCTGTGCAAAAAAATGATGGCCCTGTCAAATAGAAAAATTAGTCTTAATGTGTAAATTATTAGTATTGTTAAACTAATTGTTTCAATTATTTAAATTAATGTTACTGTATCACTTATGCAAAAAACGTCTGTAAGGGCGAGAGAACGATACATTGTTGGTCCATAGTTTTACGAGGGCACGCCGACCGGTGAGTGGTACAACTTACAGAAATTGGATGGTTTTCTAAATAAGCTTGACCTCATTTCTAAAAAAATTCCGCTCCAGCTCATAACTTCCGAAGCACAAATTAATTTTTGCCAGCAATTTTCAACAATGAATGGATTGCTACAAATGGATTTACTCCTTGGCCTCCTAGGTCAGCAGATATAACCCCACTTGATTTTTACTTGTGGGGTTATTTAAAGGAAGAATATTTTAAAAAAGATACCAACACGTTGACGTTTTAAAGGCTGCAAGTAGAGAAAAAATAAATCAGATATATTGTACGCGACTCGCACAATAAAGAAACGTGCTAACGTAAACGTAAAGTAAAAATGTATTGAAGTACGAGATGTTGTTTTAGAACACCTCTTAAAATAACTTTAATAGTTGGTCATAAATTCATAAATAATGCAACGACTCATAACCCTCTAGTCTAAAAGAGAAATGTGCTAATAATTCGGTTATTTTCAATTTTAAGCTAATATTGGATATGACCTTTTTTCTTCTATTGGTGATTTACGAACGTCGGAGTAAAACGTATGCTTGGTGTTCTATTTAAAAAGAGTACATTTCCTCATTCTCCACTCGATGGTTTTTCTATTTTCGTCATCGTAATCAGTGCAAAACATACTACTAGTTTGCCAATTTTACCGACTTTGTATCTCTACTCATAACAAAGTTATCAATGATGAACACTTAATTTAGATCAGTCTATATAAGTATTATATATATATATATATATATATATATATATATATATATATATATATATATATATATATATATATATATATATATATATATATATATATATATATATATATATATATTCGAAGTGTTTTCGGAGCGCGAGCATTGAAGATGCCAAGTGAGATTTTGGCGAAACGTCTGCTGGATTCCAGTCGGAGTTCAACAAGTCAGTATGATTTTCATATTATGCAAATGTGCTTTGTTTATATTAGATATTCAAGACACGACAACCGTTTCCAGTTCTAGTCTGAAAATAAATTCCTAAAAATTATTGGAAGGAGAATAGGAAGCAAAGAGAAACAAATGTATTAGGTTACATAGAACTAACGCCGTCATCATCTTGAAAATACGTAGAACAAACAGTAGGGATACCAAAATCGACTGCCTAAAGAATTAAAAAAAACAGTTTTACAAAACTCGAGCAGGAAGAATCCAGAAGTTTTGTAAAAAGTATAACAGTAGCCTATGGAGGTTTCTTTAAAAATTAAAACACAAATACCATCCATAAAAATTTAAGAGTGTTCAACATTTACAACAACTACGAACCAACCACCATTTAATTTTTGAAAGGGCCCAACAAGGACGCTTTGGTGTCGGGAGAACGAATAGCCTACCGAATTTATGAAGGAGGTCTTACAACAGGTAGGTACCTAGACATCCTTGAGGAGATCATTCCAGAATGACTCGAATATATTTCCGTAGTATATTATAATTTACCTTCAGCTTCTCTGAAAAACGGACACGGACACAACGCACCTGTAAGATGGCTTCCACGATCTCCGGATCTTTCAGTTTTACATTTCTTTTTATGGGGATATATGCAAAATATATAAATATAAAACATGATATGAGTCTATAGCAGCACCTTGACGAGCAATTAATTTGACTTCCGAAATCATTCTTTTAAATGCCATTAAAAAAATAGAAAAATGTGCGAATTTGTACAACGGTTTTACGTATAAAGTTATTTTAATATTCTTTAGATATAATGTTATTTCGTATTAATTCATGTAATAATGTACTATAATAAGTTCATAACGTGTATTTGTAATTATATATATATATATATATATATATATATATATATATATATATATATATATATATATATATATATATATATATATATGTTCAAAAAATTGACCGTTATAAGAAAAATATGTTCCAAACAAGCATTTTTCAATTAAGATCACGGATTTTCATATATCTGAAATAAAGTTGAGAGTTTCAGGAATAGTGACTTTAATAAAGAGGGATTCTACGTCAAAACTAATCAGAATATCATGTGGATCTAATGTAATGCTTTTCAATTGTTCAACGAAATGAAAGTACGAAACAGTTTTCCCAGTAAAGTGTTTTTCTTGAACAAACGTCCTGACCAGCTACTAATAAACGTATATTAGAAAAGAAAAAGTAATTCGAAAACATCTTACAATGCGCTTTTCATTCCCAACCTTAAAACTAAGCTGAGTACATGAAACATCTTTTTATGGTAACAAAACTTCCTCTTTTTCTTAAACTCAAGGGGATTTTAGCGCATTCTTAACACCCCTCCATTCGCTAAAACCCTTTAAGTTTACAGCCTCTCTAAATTTTAAAAATATTAGTTTTGATAAATCCTTTCACTTGATTACGCGGTTCTATATAAAGAATTTCTTAACATTTAACGTATACGGAAATAACCTAAACAAATTTCTAAAAAAAGTGAAGAATGATTATAATACCGAGATTATTAATAATAATTAAACGACATAAAAAAAAGTGTTCTCAGTTATTTCTGAAGCTACAAATGTAAACAAAAATGAAACTGAGACAGTACAAACACTATCAGAAAACAATGAATAGTTTAGAAATGTTAAGGACATGTCTAATTACTGCAATGACTATTTTAGTAATATCTATCTAATCTATGATAAAAAGTATGCGAGAAATTCGTCTCAATGATTTTAGTTCCTATAACTGATGCTGACTGAAAAATAGATATCTGCGTTAAAAGTCGGGCATCAAGAATTTATAATATATAAGAATATTCATCAACATATTTTATCTCCATTAAAGCTAATATTTACAGATCTAGTGACAAGTCTAAAATTAACAATTTTTAGACTTGGCGAAGGCATTTGACACAGTTAACGATGAAGAATTGTTGACAACCTTAATCGGTGTGGGGTTCGGGAGATTTTAGTCGCTACCTATCAGATAGAAAGCAGAATTTTAGAGTAAATGGTATCCTGAAAGGGAGTCCCACAATGTTATGAACGAAACGTAGCTTAAGATTGTTTGAGTAATAAGGTAACAGGCAAACAAACAAGAACTTATCAATGGACAAACTTGATTTTACAAACGCAGTCAGAAGCTCTAGCAATTGAGCTGATTGAAGGCCAAGTAAGATCGATGTGTGAACACAGGAGTGTTCAAGAATCGATGGACAAAATTTCTTCCTACCAGTGAAAGAATCAAGCCAAAAGTGAATAAGAAACAGTGGACAAATCAAAATAATGATTCAGTCAGTAAACCTAAAGAAAAAATTGTTAAAAATGCGGAATGAGAAGGCATGACCCAAATTAGTGTCCTACCAAAGACTGGGAGTGCTTCAACTGCAAAGCGAAAGGACCGAACCAAAGTCAAAGCTGGTGAGGTAACACTACAGATCGAAGGCAGTCCCAGTTGTGAAGTGAAGCTTTCAGATCTGAACATTTTTAATATCGATTATGATTTCGGAGACCTCACTGGAGATGGTGTTAAGACTATAGGTGAAACTGACGTGTTTGTCAAATATAATAATTTAGTAGTAATTTTAGAAAGTCGACTTAAATTCACTTCATTGCTTGGCCGAAATTGACTAGATGTTAGGTCCTCAGTTGCGTCACAAAGCATACAGTTTATCTCACAAATAAAAATAGGGTCATTAAACGCAATCTGTTAAAAAAATCTACTAATATCAATGTCTTATCAAATCAGTATGAAAACGCTAAAGCAAAACCAATCAGTAATTTAAAAAAAAGGTCCCATTATGTCAAAGCATGTCAAACAAAAAGTGAGTCAAAATCTTTAGTTTCAGATTTCAATATAAATAAATTAGTTTCTACAATCAAAAATGATTTTAAAAAAATACGGAGTCATGTATTAAGAAAGTCAAGGTCGAATTGAAATTCATCATTGCGCTTTGCCTTTATCAAGGAACATTGGTTTTTCAGTCACTAATTAAAAAGAAGGGTACCAACAACTCGAAATAAGTGAAGTCTCAAGAACTGTTAGTAATAAACAATCTTCTTGGTCCTTTTGCTTTTACAAGATTGACTTACA